ATATATATATATATATATATATATATTATGTAAACATATATATATGCATATATATTTATGTGTAAATATATAAAAATATATTACATAAAATATAATTCGTTGTTCGTCCGCTACTGCAGCAGCAGCAGCAGCAGCGAGAAACTGCAGCAGCAGCAGCTGCAGCCTCAGCAAGTGTAACAGCCTCAGCAACTGCAGCAGCCTCAGCAATTGCAGCAGCAGCGGCTGGTGCTGCTGTAGCAGTTGCTGCAGCAAGGGCAACTGCAGCAGCCCAAGCAATTGCAGCAGCCTCAGCAACTCCAGCAGCAGCACCAGCTGCTGCTGCTGCTGCTGCTGCAGCTGCAGCTGCTGCAGCAGGAGACAGCAATTAGAATCCAACGCGAGCGAGACGGTGGTCTGTTTTGGGGTCAGCAGTTAAGAGCTGCATGCGCTCAATTGCTTCAGTAATGCTGTCTTGTGTTTGCTGCAGCTGCTGCAGGTGCAGCAGCCGCAGCGCAGCAGCAAACTGCTGCTCTCCCTCACCCCGAATACCGCAACTCATAACAGCAGCACCGGGGGGCCCCAGCAGCAGCGGCAGCTGCAGCAGCAAACGCCGCTTCTTCTCACAAGACAAGGGCTCCTCCGATGCTGCTGTCCCTCCCGTTGCTGCTGCTGCAGCAGCAGCAGCAGTCCGAGCCTCCACTGCCTGCAGCAGCAGCAGCAACAGCAACAGCAACAGCGCGATGAAGCAGCAATATGAAACTGCCGATGCTGCTGGAAGACGTGATGTTGTATACAAAGTGCCGCAGTAGCAACAACCAAAAACGCAGCAGCAGCAGCAACAACAGCAGTAGCAGCAGCAATAGCAGCAGCAGCAGCAGCAGCACCTGAAGAGCAGCAAGTGCCTCCGCAAGAGAAGCGTCTGACGGCAGCGGCGGCAGCTGCAAACTTTTTAGAGCCGCAGCAAGAGGCTCCTGTATTGCTGTCAGTGTCTCCGTAGCGTTGGCTTCCTGTTGTTGTTGCTGCTGCTGCTGCTGTTGTTGTTGTTGCTGCTGCTGCTGCTGCTGCTGGGAGTCACTGGAGTCGGCGCCCTTTAAGGCGCCTTCTGCAGACAAAAACAAAAAAGCAGCAGCAGTCCCCACAGCATGCTGCGCTGCTGCAGCAACAGCTACAGCAGCAAGACACACGCTGCTGCTGCTGCTGCTACTCCTACTACTGGAGATAAAGGCCAGGCAGTGCAGCAGCAGCAGCCTCAGCAGCACCAACAGCAGCTACAGCAGCGGCAACAGCAGCAGCACCGTTCTTGTGCCTAAAGGGACGTTAGCAAAGAGGGGCTGCAGCAGCTGCAAGAGCACCAGCAGCAACAGCAGCCGCAGCAGCAGCAGCAGCAGCAGACCTGCAACAGAGTCTTCATAATGCAGCTTTAGTGCTGTCTGCACCAGCAGCCGCAGCAACTCCAAGCGGGTTGCCGGAGTGTCTTTTAAAGGCTTTGTTATCCTCAGCCCCACATCATCTAAATACTAAGACAAACAAAACAAACAAAAATATAAAAATCCTATAGAGAGACAGCAGCAAAAGCAACAGCAGCAAAAGCAACAGCAGCAAAAGCAACAGCAGCAACAGCAGCAGCAACAGCAGCAAAAGCAGCAACAGCAACAGCAGCAAAAGCAACAGCAATAGCAGCAGACGCAACAGCAACAACAGCAACAGCAGAATCAACAGCAGAAACAAGCGCAGCAGCAGCAACAGCAGCATCAACAGCAGAAACAAGAGCAGCAGCAGCAGCAGCAGCAGCAGCAGGATTGTTGCTGTTGCTGCGTACCTGTGTGAATGTCTGCCACCACGTATGTTGGTTTGCTGCAGTGAGGAGGAGTCTGTCTCTTCTTTGCTGCCTTGTGAGACAGCGAATAAAACCCTCTTCTAGCCACAGCACAAGCTCTTCAAACTGCGGTGTATGCACGCCTACAGGCAGCGGACACTGCAGCACCCTCAGCCTCCTCTTAATACTAGTCGGAATAACAACCCCACCTGCTGCTGCAGCAGCAGCAGCAGCAGCAGCAGCAGCAGCAGCAGGAGCCCCTGCTGCTCCTCCTGATGCAGCAGGTGCTGCTGCAGGTTCAGGCGCAAACTCGCGCTTCCACGCTGCAGGCGGCATTGGAGCTGCAGCAACAGCAGCAGCAACAGCAGCAGCAGCTAGCTGTTAAAAAAAGCTGTAACAAAATATTATTAACTGTACGTACACCTCCAGCACACTTCAACCGATCCACCTCAAACCCTAAACCCTAAACCCTAAACCCTAAACCGTAGGGCTGCTGCTGCACGGGGTAGGCAGAAGACACTCTAAAGGAGACATTTATTTCTTATTGTTCTACACCTTACAACTCTTAGCAGCAGCAGCAGCAGCAGCTGCTGCTGCTGCTGCTGCTGCCGAGCCCTCACGGGCGGGCCCCCCAAGCAGAAGCCATCGACTTTTTAATTTTATTTTATAAAATAAAATTTGTTTATTATATTTATTTATTTATTTATTTATTTATTTATTTATTTATTTATTTATTTATTTATTTTTATTGCGTTTGTTTTTCTGCTGCTTCTCAAAGCATGCACATGCAGAGGGCATAGCTATTATTATGTTTATTTTCTTATTATTATTTTATTATTATTATTTTATTATTATTATTATATTATTGTAATTTATATTAGTATATGTTATTACGTTATATTTCTACATTTGTTTTTATCCGTTTATTAACATATTTATATTTGTTTTTGTATGTGCGTTTTTTGTCTTTGTTTGTATTTATTTTTGCTAATAATAATATTATTATTATTTTGTTGATAATAATAATAATAATAATAATAATAATAATATTATTATTATTATTATTATTATAGTGTATTATTATATTATATGTATTTCTTTTTTATTTATATTGATAGTAAATCTGTTTTTGTTTGTTTTGCAATGTGCTATTTTTTGTTTTATTGTTTTTTGTTTTTATATTTTGTTTATTAATTAATAAATTTTCATTTGTTCATCTTCCTACTTGTCTTTGTTTATTTTCATAGGTGCCTATACACCCTAGAGAGCTGCCTATACACCCTAGAGAGCTGCCTATACACCCTAGAGAGCTGCCTATACACCCTAGAGAGCTGCCTATACACCATACAGCTGCCTATACACCCTAGAGAGCGGTCTATACACCTTAGAGAGCTGCCTATACACCCTAGAGAGCTGCCTATACACCTTAGAGATGCTTATACACCGCGCCAATGTAACAACAAATGAATAACTGAGTCATTTGGGTCTGCTGCATCTCGCGGCAGCAGCCTGTCTATGCTGGCAGCACTGCGCTATATCTGCAGGTCCGCTGCTCCTGCTGCTGCTGCTGCTGCTGCCGCAGCAGCACAGTGTCTTTAAAAAGCAGCAACGTATTTTCGCAGCAGCTGGGCAGGGCCCCTGCTGCAGCAGTGCTGCAGCAGCGCAGCACGAAAAGAAAAGAAACAAATTTATTAAGGGGGGTGCAACGATATATTACGGCGCTTGCTGCTTATTCAGCAGCAGCAGCAGCAGCAGCAACACCTGGCGCTGCAGCTGCTGCGGTGGGGGGTGGTTGTCTAGGCCTGGGGGGATACAAGGGGTGTAGTTGCTGCAGCTGTTGCTGCTGCTGTTACAGCTGCTGTTGCAGCTGCTGTTGCAGCTGCTGTTTCTGGTTCTGCGGCTGTGAGTGCTGCATTAGTCTCTGCAGCATCCGCAGCTGCAGGCTCTGCAGCAACAGCAGCAGCAGCAGCAGCAGCAGCAGCAGCAGGATCTGACCCCTTTGGCTGTGTGTGTTGTTTGCTGCTGGCGGAAGCAAAGATATGTTTGTCTTCCTGTTCACAAACTTTTCTCTGTTTCTGCTGCCTTGTTCCCATCAGCATCTGCTGCTGCTGCTGCTGCTGCTGCTGCTGTTGCTGCTGGTTGCTGGTGCTGTCTGCTGCAGCAGCATCTGGAGAGCCGAGTATACATAGAGCATCAAGCAGCAGCAGCTGATATTCCCGAGGCAGCTCACTAGGCCTCTTGTTGCAGCGAATACAATGACAAAATAACCGCAGATAAGGTAGCAGCATCTCTGAGACAACTGCCTCTGCTTCTGGCTGCTTTGTTTGTACAGCTAGAAGAGCAAAAGAAGAAAACAATTCGAGCTGCACATACACCGCACGACTCCACCGATGCACCTCAGCAGACAGCTCTTCATCGCCATCAAACATCATCTCTGAAGTTAAAATTCTGCTAATACATTGCTGCAGATCGATAAGTATATGACAGACAGCACTCCTCATTACCTCCACACTGCTGCTGCTGCTGCTGATGCTGCTGCTCATGCTGCTGCTGATGGTGGTAGGGGTAGTTGTGGACGTGCTACTGCTGCTGCTGCCGCTGCTGCTGCTGCGCCCTTGGGGAGATAATAAGCAGCAAATATCACCCGAAACACTGTCGTATGCAGCAGCAGCACCACCACCAACACCACCTGCTGCAGCAGCAACGCTACGCTTCCTGCTGCTGCTGTGGCCCCATATTTCGCTGCTGCCTGCTGCTGCAGCTCCAGCAGCAGCAGCAGACACCACAGCTGCAGCAGGAGACGCAGAAGGACTCGGCGTTGATGCGCAAGTGCTCGTCGAGTAAGTAGGAGACACTGCAGCAGCAGCAGCAGCTGCTGCTGCTGCTGCTCCAGCTTGGCCTACTGCTGCTGCCGTTATCCCGTGATCGAACAGAGCCTGCAGCAGCAAATGCACACATAGACAAGGAGACTGAACCCCTATAAACCACAGCAAAGACAGCAGCAGCAGCAAAGACAGCAGCAGCAGCAAAGACAGCAGCAGCAGCAGCTGCAGCAGCAACAACAGCAGCACAGGAGTACAGCATGCGATTTTCCATAGTAGCAGCAAGTGCAGCACAGCAGCAGCAGCAGGGCAAGCATTAGTAGGGAGTGTGTTGACTGACATGAAGTCTGTTATTGTTGCTGCTGCTGTTGCTGCTGCTGCTGCTGCTGCTGCTGCTTGCTTTGCAGCGGCGGAAGGCTGCATCTGTTTGTGCTGCTGCTCGTCGCTTGTCTCTCCACTCTACTGCTTTTTCTCGAGCTACTCGGAAGCCAAACTTGCGTATTGGGAATGTCTTTAAGATACGAGGGGCCCCCTCTGAGGGGCCCCCCCTCTGTCCCTTTATTCCTGCTGCTGCTGCTGCTGCTGCTGCTGCTGATGCTGCTGCTGATGCAGTTGTTGCTGCTGCAGTCGTTGGTGCCCCAGTTGGTTCTGTCTTTTCAACAGCACTGGTCGTTCCTGCTGCTGCTGCTGCTGTTGCTGTTGCAGTTGCAGTTGCTGCTGCTGCTGTTTCTTCTTCTGCTGCTAAGACAACCCACGCCTTGATCGCCTCCATCCACTGCACCTGCGGCTCTACAGGCAGCTGCGCTACCCTTTCTAAGTAATCTACTCGTCCGCTGGCCCCACAGTAGACAGCATTTGCTGCTGCTGCTGCTGCTGCTGTTGCTGCTGCTGCTGATGTTGGTGGGGTTGCCGGTGCTCCTAATGCTGCTCCTGCTGCTCCTGTGGGAAGGCGGCTATTAGCAAGTCGCGACTCTGCTGCTGCTTCTGCGGCTGCTGCCTGGCCCTCTGGGTTGCTGCTGCTGCTGCTGTTGCTGCTGCTGCTGCAGTTGGCTGCTGTGTGAGCGTCCGCCGTGGGATGGGCCGCTGCAGCAGCAGCAGCAGCTGCTGCTGCTGCTGCTTCTCTTTCCTCCATTTGCTGTATCTGTTCAAGAGCTTTCTCAAGTCGTGCATTAGCAGCATCATAATGTGCCTCTGCATGCGATAGATGAGGTTTGATAGCTGCTGCTGCTGCTGCTGCTGCTGAATCAGCAGCAGCAGCAGATGCGGCAGTATTAGAAGAGCTATGTGTATGTTCAGACAGTGGGAATTGGTGTAGATGATGCTGCTGGTGCTGATGCTGCTGCTGCAGCAATATCTTTCTTTTGCGTTGCTGCTGCAGCGCTTCTGCTGCTTTTTTTCTTGTTAACAAAGCTAATTGATGAGCTCGTCTAAAGCCGTGTTTATTAACTGTAAAATATCTAATAACCCTTCGGCCTCCCTCGTGCCAGAAGGCCCTCCAGATGCGTCGTGCCCCGTCATAGTACACCCCAGGAACCTTAACTACTTCTCGAGCAAGTGCTGCTAATGCTTCTCCTTCTGCTGCTGCTGCTGCTCCTCCTGATGATGATGATGATGATGATGATGTTGCTGCTGCTGCTGCTGCGGATGTGGAAGTGGGTGTGGGGCTGGGGGTCGATGTTCCTGCTGCTGAGGAAGATGATGATGATGATGCTGCTGCTGCTGCTGCTGCTGCTGTCTGGCTGCAATTTAAACTCGCAGATGTACATTCCCCTGCTGCTGCTGCTGCTGCTGTTGCTGCTGCACCTGGGGTTTGTGTCTTGACCTCTGGAAAGGGCCCTGGGGGTGCGATGTGCTGCTGCTGCAGCGGCACCGCATGCAGCTGCTGCTGCTGCTGCAGTTGCTGCTGCTGCTGCTGTTCTTGCGTTTCTGCTTTAACTCCTCTATCTTCAAGTATGGTTCTCCCAAGCGTCGCACCCACATGCTGCTGCTGCTGCTGCTGCTGTTGCTGTTGTTGCTGCTGCTGCTGCTGCTGCTGCTGCATCTGCTGCTGCGCTTTAACCTTCTTCCTCTCCAAAGCCCTCTCTTTTGTTTCTGTTGCGAGCTGCAGCGCGTAGTCATGACCAAACTTAACAGCAGAAAAATATCTAAACCTTCGCTTCCCTGTCTCAGCACAAACCCACGACGCTCTCCAGCAGTTTTGCTGCGGGTCAAACCAAACCCCACTATACTTCTTAGGTAGGGGGCCCCCCCCGGGGCCCCCGGGGGCCCCCCCTCCTGAGGCCCCCCCAGGGGCCCCCCCGGGGGCCCCTCCGGTGGCCCCCCCAGCCGAAGCCCCTCCAGGGGGCCCCCCTATTGAGGGTACCCCTAGGGGGGCCCCCCCAGCTGAGGTAACAACATTAGTAGGGGGGCCCCCTGGGGGGCCCCCAGAAGATATAACAGATAGGGGGCCCCCAGAAGAAGAGGGGGCCCCAACTGGTACAACAGAGGGATGGCAGGAGGCTCCTGCTGTACGCGCTAGGCTCTTTAAGGGGTTGGCACCCCCTACAT